CGAAAACAGCGGGGAGTGGTATGACCGAGCTTACTGCAAACGAACCCGCGGCGAGGACCGGTCTGGATCTGGTACTGACAACGCACGCCTCCCGAACCACCACTCGGCACACCACCACGCGCCCGACCACCTCCAGCGCCAGGCCACCCGGGCGGGAGGACACTCGCTTGCCTCGTCTGCGGCGGCTGCTGGGGAGGCTGCGACTTCTGCGGCTGCTGCTGCTGCTGCTGCGACTGGGGAGGCGGCGGCTCAGCTAGACTGGGCAGGGTCCCCTCGTCCGCTCCAGCACCAGACGACCCGACTCCACCACCACCCCCTCATGCACTCCCGCCTCCTCCGCCGCGCCCAGCCTTTGGGCGGCGGCCCTTCCCCGAACGAAACTGCGCTGCAGCAGCAGTCTCAGCTACAACGACAGAACCGTCGGAGAAGGTACACTGAGCGGGGGCACAACCTTGAAAGATAGGGACCGCCACGGTACCACTCGCCTGGGCGATGGAGCGGTGGCGGGTCTCAATAACAGTCAGGGTGTCTACAAGGTCGGTGAGGGTGAGCTCACCGGGGTGAATGCTATGAAAGCGGTCGCGGGCGGCGGCAAGGCGGTCAGGGAGGCGGGTGGCAAGCAGGTAGAGGGTAGAGGTAATGGGCGGCTGGTGGGCTCTAAGCTGTGCGTCAGTGCAGGCAGCGCTCCAGGTCTCATCTATCGAGCGCAGGTGGGCAGCTAGGTCAGGGACAGTGGGGAAAGACGCAAGGTCGGGAAAGAGCATCGGGAGGATCAAGCGACCCACCGAGGCAGCAGGAGGCGTGGAATAGCGCTTGATGACAGCATCTAAGTAAGCTTGGGCGGAAGTGATGGACCTAAAGCAAGGGCGCTCGGACGGGGGAAGGGCATTGCTAATGGCAAGCTGAGCGACAGCGTCTCGAGAAAGCCAGACAGAGCGCGCAAGGGCAGTGGATGCAGTAGACTCACGCTCAGCGGGTGTGGGGTCAGCGGGCAGAACAGCAGGGGGGTCTGGGCAGGGGAGCGTACCGTCAAGGTGTGCGGAAAGCGGGTGGCCATCCTGCCGATGGCCAGTGAGGTGGCGACGGAGGTCGGCGAGCCACGCCTCGAACTCCAGAGACTGGCCTGCAGCGTCGAAGCGAAGCTCCGACGCCATCAGGGGCAGTGCAGGACTGTACAGTGCGGTGCAGCACGGTGCAGGGCGGTGCAGTGCAGTGCAGGGCGGTACCGCGCAGTGCAGTGCGGTGCAGGGCGGTGCAGTGCGGTGCAGGGGTTGGGAACCGTACCAGGGAGGATGCAGGGTCGGGGCAGGGACGACGAGCGGGCCGCATACAGCTCGGGCCAGAAGCAGCGGGCACCAGGCCGACGGGACGGGCGCGGGGCCGGCTGGGACGAACGCAGGGGCCGAGCAGACGGGCGCGGAGGTCGCGAGGGCGGGCGCGGGGCCGGCTGGGACGAGCGCAAGGCAGGCGCGGCAGGGCCAGGCAGGCGCGGCGGGGCCAGGCAGGCGCGGCGGGGCCAGGCAGGCGCGGCGGGGCCAGGCAGCCGCAGCGGGGCCAGGCAGCCGCGGCGGGGCCAGGCAGCGACGGGGCCAGGCAGGGGGCAACGGGGCTAGGCAGGGCGCGACGGGGCCAGGCGGGCGCGACGGGGCCGGGCAGGGCGCGACGGGGCCGAGCGGGCGCGACGGGGCCAAGCGGGCGCGACGGGGCCGGGCAGGGCGCGACGGGGCCGGGCAGGGCGCGACGGGGCGAGGCAGGGCGCGACGGGGCCAGGCGGGCGCGACGGGGCCGGGCAGGGCGCGACGGGGCCGAGCGGGCGCGACGGGGCCAGGCGGGCGCGACGGGGCCGGGCAGGGCGCGACGGGGCCGGGCAGGGCGCGACGGGGCTAGGCTGGGCGCGACGGGGCCAGGCGGGCGCGACTGGGCCGGGCAGTGCGCGACGGGGCCGAGCGGGCGCGACGGGGCCAGGCAGGGCGCGACAGGGCCAAAAGGCGTGACGGGGCCCAGGAGGGGCGCGACGGGGCCCAGAAGGGGCGCGACGAGGCTAGGGGGGGGCGCGACGAGGCCTAGGAGGGGCGCGACTGGGCTAGGGGGTCGCGACGGGGCCAGGAGGCGCGACGGGGCCCAGAAGGGGCGCGACGGGGCCCAGTAGGGGCGCGACTGAGCTAGTGGCGCGACGGGGCCCAGGAGGGGCGCGACGGGGCCAGGAGGCGCGGCAGGGCCCAGGAGGGGCGCGACAGGGCTAGGAGGCGCGATGGGCCCAGGGGGAAGCGGCGGGGCCTAGCTAGGGTACGGGCGGAAGCGGTAGGTGGGGGATCCTAACCTACGTGTGATACCATGCTAGAATGAGAACTGAATGATCAGTAGAGAGAGAGTACAGGTGAATATACCTAAGTGTTGTACCCTCTAAGAGGTGGCCCTATACAGTCTATGCAAACATAGGAGATACACATGTTTGACACTTTATGCCTCTGGGTAAATTTTTTGAGATAATACGTTTTCTCTGATTAGCCAGAGTTTTCTTTTGTACCACCCTGTTGGTTTCTGTACAAGGGGGATACCTCCAGGATTTTCTTGTACCCCCCTGTCTACATACGTGGACCCGAATCCATGCCGAGTATAACGGACTGAAACCGAAGCTAATTGGGCTGTTGTATAAGGGCGCTGATTGGCCCTTAGCCAAAATCAGCTCTCGATGCATGCTGTTGGAGCCAGGGTTCCCGTTAGCAGACGAAATCCGTCTGTTCATCTGAGAATCAGACTCACTTTTCCAGTATCATCTGATTTTTTGACAGCCCATTATTTTTCATCTGAACGACCATCTTGGTTATATAAATCCGTATGAATTCTCAGACTTGGTGTAGTCAATCGTCTGAATTTCCAGATAGCGCGTATATTTCCGTCTGGGAGCTTGTTCCTACGGGGCTCTAATGGGATTCACAATTTGAGCTGGAAGGCGATGAACGATCACGATCTCGACGGTTCACCCACCTCATAACCTGTTGCGCGTTTTACAAATTTGGTGTAGTCCAGTCCTTGTGGTCATTCGGCCACGTGTGCCATCGGGCCTCAGAGCCAGGCCTCTGGAAGTCGGGGTAATTACACTGCTTTGTCAAGGAAAACAGGGTGAAGTTTTGACGTGGCCCTGCTTTTGACGCATTCAGAATATCGATACCCGTCCATGACAGGCCAGCCAAAATCATCCCACGGCCGATTTTCGAATAGGGGATGGACTCACCCTGTAAAATCTAGTGTAAAAGTTCGCACCCCTAGAAAAAATTGCCCCCCCTGTTATTGTCAGGAGTGGCACATTCCGAGCTGGTCCAAACTCTGGCTACAGTGTCACGTAATTCTGACGAAAAACAGTTAAATGCAGTTCCGCGTGGTGTGACGCGAGATTGGGAGTGTCGAGATTCAAGGGGTGTTTTCAAATCTCGTTTCAGGTGCGAAATTTTCAGTCGTGCGCGAATCTGTACAGTTGGATTTTGACACGATTGATAACGCAATTCTGTGACGAATTAGCTGGAAAAACGGTTCTTCGAGCACGCTCTCAGGCAAGGGCCGAGTTTGGGAAGAGGACAGCCTGGGAAGAGGTTTGTAGGAACACGCTTTCAAACCTGCCACCCGTGGAATATTTGTTGCCACGTGGCCGTCATCACCCCAGTAATGTGCTACAGTTTATTGTGAAGTTCTTTTTTTTCCGTCTGGAAGCTCAGATGATGCTGGACAATTCGTCTGAAAATCCAGACTAGTCCAGGTAGCTCGTCTGATGGTCAGACGAAATTTTGAAACCTCGTCTGATTCTCAGACAGCCCTAAAACTTAGCAGGAACCCTGGCTGGAGCGTGTGTGAGGGTGAAATTTGGTCCTTCAAATGAAATCACCGTCCAACGTGTACAATCTGACTAAGGGCCAAAAAGCGCCCTCACAACGCAAAGTGTGTTGGATGCCCTTAGCCACATTCACCACGTGATGTATGGTGCAGTTTGTATGAGGGCGCCGATTGGTCCAAACTCCACGAGATGCGTGCTCTTGCGTGGTGGCTGCGCGTGGATTGTGGCCCTCAGATTTCAGGTTTTTTTTTGCTGATTTTGCTGATTTCCAGGGTGTTTTGCTATACCTACCCTGAAAAATCAGCGCTGGAATCTGGAAAACCGGGGTTTAGTTAAAAAAGCAGTACCTATCAGAATTGGAATTTAATAATGGTAAAGTGAGAGTACACACAAATATACCTAAGTGTTGTACCCTCTAAGAGGTAACCCTATATAGTCTATACAAACATGACAAATACAGATGTTTGACACACCCCCTGGACTACATAGGGGAATACCCTAAACAAGCAGCTCAGGGCGGCACTACAGTCCAACCTCTGAGACAAGGGTCTGAGAGACCAGTCAGAAGGAGTACAGACAAGGCAAGAACAAGACCAGGGCGGCACTACTAGTCCAGCCACTGGGAGAGGACACAAGTCCAGTCTGAGTATACATATAAAGGACAGTACAAGTCAAGGTCCTAGCAAGTGAGAAGCGACAGGAACTAGACCAAGCTGTACACAGTGCCGCTGATGATCTTTAGGCGCAAGCGCCTTCGTAAAGATATCACCTGTGTTGGCACCTGAGGCCAAGTGTACTACGCGAGCCTGACGTCGCTGCTGTAGCTCACGCAGGAGGAAGTACCGCAGCTGAATGTGCTTCGCTCTGCCCTCGAGTCGAGGCTCCTGACACAGGAGGATCATGGCCCTGTTGTCAGCGAACAGGACCGGGGCAGAGCTAGGCCGCTCACCTAAGTCAGTGAGCAAGAAGGTCAGCCAGCGGAGCTCCTGTGCCGCCATGGCACCAGCGTAGATCTCAGCCTCACAGCTGGACTGTGCAACAGACGAGGAGCGAGTAGCTCTCCACGAGACGGCACCTGAGCCAAGGCTGAAGCAGTAGCCCTGGGTAGACCTGAGTGTCTCAGCGTCGTCTGCCCACGAAGCGTCTGTGTGTCGCGTAAGGACCACTGGCCTGCGTCTTCCAAGCACTAACCCCATGCCCGATGTACTATCAAGATAACGCAAAACCCTCTTAGCGGCAGACCAGTGCTGCGGTCGGTGTCTGCCTGTGGCCACAAAGCGCGCCAGGATGCTGAGAGGGTATGCGAGATCTGGGCAAGTGCAAGTCATCAGGTACATGAGGCAACCCACCAGCTTTGCGTAGGGGCCGCTGGGCTCTACCGACTCCTAAGAAACTGGATCGGAGAGTCTGTGGTCTACAGGCAGAGGGGTGGGCTGTGCAGAGGAGAACTGAAGGCCGAACCTGTGAAGGACCTGGCGCACCAAGTGTGACTGAGTCAGGGTGATGGTGCGCGATGCTCTGTCCCTGGAGATCTGCAAGCCAAGGTAACGACGCAGTTCTCCAAGGTCAGTGCACGTGTGTCTCTTCAGCAGCTCTGCCTTCACTGAGGCCAGTGCGTCCCTGTCTGCTGTGGCAAAGACAAGGTCATCGACGTAAACAATGATGTAGAACGGAGTCTGGCCAGCATGAACGAAGAGTGAGGGGTCTGCGGAAGACGGAAAGAACTGCAGGTCAGCAAGGGTAGCACGCAGCGTGTCGTGCCACTCACGAGGAGCCTGGCGCAGGCCGTAGACGGGGCGCCGCAGGAGCCACTTGGTCCGAGAAGGGAAGGTGCCAGTAAAGCCCTGAGGGCGACGCAAGTAGACCTACTCGTGTAGGCTGCCCTGAAGGAAGGCAGTGGAGAAGTCGAGGGAGTGAAGCTCGTAGTCACGCTGAGCAGCTAGGTGTAACAGAACCCCAAGAGTAGTCATCTTCGGGGTCGGAGCGAAAGTCTGGAAGAAGTCCACCCCCTCGCGCTGACTGAAGCCTCTAGCCACATAGCGCGCCTTGAAGACAAGCGGCTCTCCAGGAGGGCGCTTCACCTGGAAGAGCCAGCGGCCATCGACTACGTTCACCCCAGGTGGGGGAACTGCGTCGACGAAGGTGCCGGTGGATCTCCAAGATGCCATCTCCTGCTCCATGGCAGCTATCCACTGCGAGGCCCAGGGTCCCGAAGTCGCCTCAGCGTAAGTGCGAGGGGTCGGGATGTCGAAAGCGTCTGGGTCACCCTCAGGGACTAGCAGCATGGAACAGAGATGGGGAGCAGCCTCGGACAGGAAAGCAAGCTCGAACTGGCGGTCCTCCAGGACGTCACTACCAAGGGCAGGAGCACTCCCGACAAACGGAGGACAGGCAGGGTCAGAGACCAGAGCGGTGGCGTAGTCAAGGCGGCGGGTAGAGGCGAAGTCAGCGACAGCAGCGACAAGAGCGGCAAGGCACGAGACCGGAACAGACGGGTCGGTAACGAGAGAGGCAAGGACCCGAGGAACGAGAGGACGAGCGGCACGAAGGTAGTCGGACAGCGGGGGGGGCGCAACAACAAAGGAGGACGGAGGAGGCGACGGGAGAAGGGGAGGACGAGACGCGTGGGAACGAAGCAACATAGGGTGGGAGCGCAAGACAGGCGAGGCAGGACGAGCACGGGAGGGGCGGTGAGACCAGACGTGCGACGGAGGAGTCGGGTCAGGAGACAGGGGAGGGGACACAGGAGGGGAACGAGGGGGGAGACGAGCCGGGGACGAGTTCGGCGGAGGGAAAACAGGGCCGTACACAGGAAGAGGAGGAGACGGTCGGGGAGGAACCGACGCAGGGTCGGGGGACGGAAGGCCGAGCAGGCGAAGGGCGGACACCGGCGGGGACCGCTGCTGCGGCGGCACAACGGCGACACCTGGACCGCAAGCTGCTCCTCGGCGACCACCGGCACTCTCCACACCAGCACCCCCAGAGGGACCACCCCCAAGGCGACCGGGACGAGCACCCCCAGAGTCAGCAAACGGGGGCTGCGACGGCGGCGACGGCGGCGGCGGCGACGACGACGGCTGCAGCAGCGGTAGTGGCGGTGGAGGAGGGGACTGGGGAGGGGACACCTGGGGAGGGGCGGCCGGCGAGGACTGCACAGGAGGGCCACCAGAGTCAGAAGACTCCTCAACCGGGTCCACGGACGGAAGGGGGGTGACGTGGGACACACCAGAGGGGGCGGGATGGGGAGGAGGAGGAGGAGGGGCAGGGACTACCGGGGAAGGGGTGACCAGGAACAGCGGGGGGGTAACCGGGGGACCACGGTGGGGAAAGCGGCGGTAGTAGGAGACAGACTCGTCAAATGTGACGTCACGAGAGTGAAAGAAGCGGTGAGACGGCGGGTGGTAAAAGTGCCAGTCGGACGCGTCAAGGGGAAAACCGAGGAAGACGCAGGGAAGGGTGCGGGCAGTGAGCTTGTCCGTGCCGGAGGCACGGACGTGAGCAAGGCAGCCCCAGACGTGGAACGCAGACGCGTCACCAGGGGACCCAGTCCAAAGACGGGTCGTTGAAACCTGCGGCTGCTGAGGGTGCGGCCACAGGTTAAGCTGGTGAGAAGCGTAGCGCACAGCGAACGGCCACAGAAAATGGGGTGCACCGGCATGGATCATGGAGGTGCGAGCCACCTCCATGACCAAACCGATGCGTCGCTCAGTGACCCCATTCTGCTGTGGGGAGTCCGGTAGGGTGAACGTCTGGGTGATGCCCTCCGCACGACAAAAGCGACCAAGGACACCGGAGGCAAACTCGCCACCACGGTCTGAGTGAAGACGCAAGACAGGGAGACCGCGGTGGACACGCGCAGAGACAAGCCAGGGGATGAGAGCGCCAGGCACGTCGGCCTTGCGCTCCAGGGGAAAGACTGTGGTGTAACGAGTGAAGTCGTCGACAAGCACAAGGAAGTAGCGCTCTCGACGCGGCCCAGGGACGGGGGCGGGGCCCCAGACGTCCAGGTGCAGGGTCTGCAGCGGCGCGGCGGTAGGGGGAAAAGAGGAGGAGTGAGGGGCACGGCGAAGCCGACCCTCGACACAAGGCGTGCAAGGTGGGGCTGGAGAGGAGGGAAACGCAGGAAGCGAACCTGGGAGACCAAGGACGAGACCGTGCTGAGACATGTGACGCAGACGCGGGAGCGCAGGGTGACCTAGGCGGTGGTGCCACAGGAGGGTCGGGTGAGTGAGGGAGCGACAGGAGCAGGCAGCAGCAACCTGGGTAGACGCAGCCACCTAAGGGGTCGCTCCAGCCGGGGGGGTCACGGTGTCCAGAGTGAACAGGTCGGACACCGGGTCCCGGGGGAACGTGGGCAGGGGGGCACCAGTGGCGGCCTCGGTACAGACAGCATACCGCTCGTGACCAGGGAACGTAGTGGTGACGCCAAGGTCCTCGAGACAGCCGACACCAACTAGGTTCCTGGAGAACGAGGGGATATGCAGACCTGTAAGAGAACCCGAAGGAACCGCCGGACAGAGAAGGGTGGTGGAACTGCGGGCGACTACCGGACCGCTGGAGGGGTCAGCAAGAGAAACGACAGCAGGAACAGGAAGCGGCGTCAGGGTGGTGGAGTCGCGGAAGAAACACCGAGAGGCGCCAGAGTCGAAGGTGAAGGAAAGCGAAGCCGAGGGGTCTGGCGACGGAACGACGGCGGAAGCACCAAGACTACACAAAGCAGGGGATCCTATGCCTGACGCAGCAGGGGAGGCTAAGCTAGGCACACCTACACTAGGCAACAGTGAGTAATAAGCGGGAAGCACACTAGAGTCATCAGCATACATCACATGCAGAGCAGAAACAATGGCATCCATGTCCATATCAAAAATCTGAATCTGACGACTAAGCAAACTGTGCCAGTCCGGGAGGTCTGGCGACGGGCCGAAGCGCTGACGAAAGAGGTCGTCCAGGCGACGAAAACAGCGGGGAGTGGAGTGACCGAGCTTACCGCAAACGACGCCGCGGCGCGGACCGGTCTGGAGCTGGTACTGACAACGCCCGCCGCCAGAGCCACCACTCGGCACACCACCACGCGCCCGGCCACCGCCAGCGCCGGGCCACCCTGGCGGGAGGACACTCGTCTGCCGCGTCTGCGACGGCTGCTGCGGCTGCTGCGAAGGCTGCGACTGCTGCGGGTGCTGCACCTGCAAGGGCGGCGACTCAGCTGAACTGGGCAGGGTCCCCTCGTCCACTCCAGCACCAGGCGACCCGACCCCACCACTACCCACGCCCGCACCCCCGCCGCCTCCTCCGCCGCGCCCAGCATGGGGCGGCGACCCTTCCCCGAACGGACCTGCGCTGCAGCAGCAGTCTCAGCCACTGCGGCAGAGCCGTCGGAGAAGGTGCACTGAGCGGGGGCACAACCCTGAAAGATAGGGACCGGCACGACACCGCTCGCCTGGGCAATGGAGCGGTGACGGGTCTCTATCACAGTCAGGGTGTCTACAAAGTCAGTAAGGGTGAGGTCTGCGGGGTGAACGCTAAGAAAGCGGTCGCGGGCGACAGCAAGGCGGTCAGGGAGGCGGGTGGCAAGCAGGTAGAGGGTAGAGGTAATGGGCGGCTGGTGGGCTCTAAGCTGGGCGTCAGTGCAGGCAGCGCGCCAGGTCTCATCTATCGAGCGCAGGTGGGCAGCGAGGTCAGAGACAGTGGGGAAAGATGCAAGGTCAGGAAAGAGCATCGGAAGGATCAGGCGACCCACCGAGGCAGCCGGAGGGGTGGAATAGCGCTTGATCACAGCATCTAATATGCCTGAGCAGTAGTGAGGGACCTAAAGCGAGGACGCTCGGATGGGGGAAGGGCGTTGCTAATGGCAAGCTGGGCAACAGCATCGCGAGAAAGCCAGACAGAGCGCGCAAGGGCAGAGGCAGCAGTAGCCTCACGCTCAGTGGGTGTGGGGTCAGCGGGCAGAATAGCAGGGGGGTCTGGGCAGGGGAGCGTACCGTCAAGGTGTGCGGAAAGCGGTTCACCATCCTGCCGCTGGCCAGTGAGTTGACGGCGGAGGTCGGCAAGCCACGCCTCGAACTCTAGGGGCTGACCTTCAGCGTCGAAGCGAAGCTCCGCCGCCATCAGGAACAGTCCAGTGCAGTGCAGGGCAGTGCAGTGCGGTGTAGTGCGGTGCAGTGCGGTGCAGTGCGGTGCAGTGCGGTACAGTGCAGTGCAGTGCGGTGCAGTGCGGTGCAGTGCGGTACAGTGCGGTGCAGTGCGGTGCAGTGCGGTGTAGTGCGGTGTAGTGCGGTGCCCGGCAGTACAGTGTGGTGCGGGGCGGCACGGAGCAGGGCGGGGTGGGGGGGAACCGTACCAGTGAGGAGGACGGGGCCGGGGCTGGCCCGACGGGGCCGGGCGGGCGCGACGGGGCTGGGCTGGGGCGACGGGGCCGGGCGAGTGCGGCAGGGCCGGGCCGGTGCGACGGGGCCAGGCGAGTGGGACGGCGGCCGGGCGGGTGCGACGGGGCCAGGCGGCTGCGACGGGGCCGGGCGGGCGCGACGGGGCCGGGCGGGTGCGACGGCGCCGGGCGGGCGCGACGGGGCCGGGCGGCTGCGACGGCGCCGGGCGGGCGCGACGGGGCCGGGCGGCTGCGACGGCGCCGGGCGGGCGCGACGGGGCCGGGCGGCTGCGACGGGGTCGGGCAGGGTGCGTCGGGGCCCAGGAGGGGCGCTACAGGGCCCAGGGAGGGCACGACGGGGCCCAGTAGGGGTGCTACGGAGCCCAGGAGGGGCGCGACGTGGCCTGGGAGGGGCGCGACGGGGCCCGGGAGGGGCGCGACAGAGCCCAGGAGGGGCGCGACGGGGCGCTACGGGGCCTGGGAGGAGCTCGACGGGGCCCAGGAGGGGCACTAGGGGGCCTGGGAGGAGCGCGACGGGGCCTGGGAGGGGCGCGACGGGGCCTGGGAGGGGCGTTACAGGGCCCAGGAGGGGCGCTACGAAGCCCAGGAGGGGCGCGACGAGGCCCAGGAGGGGCGCTACGGGGCCCAGGAGGGGCGCGACGGGGCGCTACGAGGCCTGGGAGGAGCGCGACGGGGCCTAGGAGGGGCGCTAGGGGGCCTGGGAGGAGCGCGACGGGGCCTGGGAGGGGCGCGACGGGGCCTGGGAGGAGCGTTACAGGGCCCAGGAGGGGCGCTACGAAGCCCAGGAGGGGCGCGACGAGGCCCAGGAGGGGCGCTACGGGGCCCAGGAGGGGCGCGACAGGGCGCTACGGGGCCTGGGAGGAGCGCGACGGGGCCCAGGAGGGGCGCTAGGGGGCATGAGTGGAAGCGGTAGGTGGGGGGGATCCTACCTACGCGTGATACCATATCACAATTGGAATTTAATAATGGTAAAGTGAGAGTACACACAAATATACCTAAGTGTTGTACCCTCTAAAAGGTAACCCTATACAGTCTATACAAACATGACAAATACAGATGTTTGACAGTACCAACCCTGATTTTGAGGATGTTTTCAAGGTGCCTTTGTGTATCGACCCTGAAAATTCAGTGTGGCATAAAACGAATCTGAGGGCCAGGGGTGTAGGGAAGAGGGGTTTTTTTGTGGATGGCACTGGTTGCCCCCCGCCAACCAGCGTGTGCAAACTTGATAGGCACTCCCCGCGCCTTTCAATTTCGTTTCCGAACCATTCCCCGGTTCTCTCCGGTTGCGCAATTGTGATGCACCACCAATCAATCCCTTCGTGCCCCGCACCTTGTTAAAATTATATAAGTTATAATTTAATATAGGCTTGGTAGGTTGTTACTGAACCTTTCTGTAGGGGGTACAAACCCCTCCTTGTACTCCCCTCTCTTCCTAATCCAACTTCCTTTCTTCTCGACATCCTCTCACCTCCTAGATCCGTTTTTCCTCACGCCATTCCATGGCGATCTTCTTCCTAGTATCCTAGCCAACCTAGCCTCCTAAGTTTAAGAACCTTTAGTCCTAAGTTTCTAAGATGGTATCAGAGCAGGAGATCCTCCCTGTTGGATCGCCTCCTCACGCTTCCGCAATTTACTCCTCACTCTCATTAGCTCGAGCGGCCATGGCGGCCGCGTTTTGCTGCAGTGGCGACGTCGCGCTGCCACTGGCCGCGTCGTGCCGCGACCGGCTCGACGCGCTGCCGTGGCGTCGGGCCGTCGTTCTGCAGTCGCAGCGTCGACGTCCCGCTGCGGCATCGACGCTGCCTCTGCCGTCGCGACGTCGACGTCCTGCTGCAGCGTCGACGGCGCCGTCGGGCCGCAGCCGGTTGCGTCGACGCTTTGCCGTGGCAGCGTCACCTTGCTGCCGTTGCAGCGTCGGCGTGCCGCCACAGCGTCGACGCCGCGCCCTGGCGGCGTCGTCATGCTGCCGCGGCAGCGTGGATGGGCGGCAGCGGGCAGCACGCCGTCGTAACCGCCACCTGCCCGCCCTCCTGCCAGTAAGCGCCGCGCCACTTATGGCGCGTCGCTGAAGACTCGCCTCGCCCCGCCCCCTCCCCTCCCCCCCCCACCTGCACCTGCTTCCCCTGCATCCCCCCCTTTCTTGCTGCAGCCGATGACTGCCATGTGAGGGACCTCTCCACCGCCGAGGAGACAGGACATGCCGCCGAGAGGGCGGGGGCCGCCGCACCAGCCTCTGTCGTTCGAGCCGCCGGCGCCGCCGCTGTTGCCGCAGGCCTGGAGCCGCCGCACACCGCCGCCGCCGTCGCCGTCGTCACTGTCGCTGCTGCCGCCATTGCCGTCTCAAGGGGCCGTGAGACCTACCCTCTTCCGGAGTCGTTGCGGCTCCTGCTGGGAATGGGGGTGCTGGGCTAGGGGGTGTGGGTGTGGGTGTGGGTGTGGGGGTGTGCGTGGGCTTGACATTACCAAGCCTAGGAGGTGTGTTAAAATTATATAAGTTATAATTTAATATAGGCTTGGTAGGTTGTTACTGAACCTTTCTGTAGGGGGTACAAACCCCTCCTTGTACTCCCCTCTCTTCCTAATCCAACTTCCTTTCTTCTCGACATCCTCTCACCTCCTAGATCCGTTTTTCCTCACGCCATTCCATGGCGGTCTTCTTCCTAGTATCCTAGCCAACCTAGCCTCCTAAGTTTAAGAACCTTTAGTCCTAAGTTTCTAAGACACCTTTCTTTCACACGGCCCATGCTGGCCCTAGCTCCCTCAAAATGGCGTGTGATCATGTATGAACTAGGCAATTAGACACGTGACATGACCCATGCATTTGCGGGCGTCTACAAGAGAACATACTTGGCAGAGTAAAATTTTTAGAAATACTGGGTTACTCTGACCATTCAGGGAAAATGTTAGAGGTCACCCTGATTTTCAGAGTTCCGATAAAAATCACTACCAGAATTCAGAGTAGCGAAAATCCAAAGATCAGCACTGGTGCCGCCCTGAACTGTGTGCTTACTACTTAGCACCACCCCTTCTCTAGCCTAGGGGGTGTGTCAACTTATACATGTGTTGCATGTAGAAGTTATAGGCTAGTGTAGATGTGTGTTCCTAGTGAGTACAACCCCAACTGCTATATGTGCTGTAATCTCCACCTAGTAATACATTCTCGTATTCTAACAACATCTGCCAACAGCAGCCCTTAACCATGCACAATCCAGCTACAGTACTTCCATAGTTCTTCCTAAGCGTGAGTAAAGAGCCACTTGCTGCCGTGGCTATAATTGGTTTCTTATATGCATGATGACGTGTCAAGCAATCCATGCATTCGGAGATGCCATGTCATGTCAAGCCTACATGTCTATGTGTTGCAGATAGTATGCAGCACATTTGTAGGTTGTACAGTGACAAGGGGGGCCTACAGCACCACAATTTTGAGAGAGTTGAAACTGCGTAAGAACAAAAAAAAAGATGCACGCACGCGAAACAGTTCTTCCCAGGATGCCCTGGAGAGAACAGCAGCAGAAGTCTGCCGGCTTCGATCCAAGTTTCCAGAATGAGTGAGCGCAACAAGCATCCATGGCAAGCCACATGCTGCGGTCTGCCTCTCAGACCCCAGCTACTGTGCCACGCTCTAGACAGGAAACACCACTGCTTGCCAGCAACGGTGCTTTAGGTTGGGGTGCTGGCACCAGCAGCAGTGCACTGCTTGACAGGCAAGCAGGCTGCTTGACGACTGAGCTTTCGAATTCACTTTCAGCCTCGCCATTCACTTGGGTTTCTTTTCGCGTTTGCACGAGGGTTTGGGCTCGTGAAGCCCGAACCGACTCTTGTCCAGTCGAGACACGCGCGTGACAGCTGCAGGTTTGTGGGGCAGGGGCATTGACACACAGGGGTACAATGGTCCCAAACAGGCGATTATTTGGAACATGTGCATGACCTCTGCCATGATGTCGTGGTGGCATGGAAGCACGTATGGGAAGGGTACTGTTGTGTGTAACCATTCACACACTCCCACACACACCGGGATAGGGCAGGCCAGCTTGTCTCCAACATAATGTGGCACGGCACAGTACCTGCGAGGAAGAGCATGAAGTTCAAAAACGCAAAAACGCAGAATCCAAGACATTCTCACCTGTTGTGTGCGAGTAGCCGACTGGGTTGGCAGTGCAGGGGTCAGTAGTAGGTGGTGGGCACGGACGCATACTGCCCGTACGCACTCGTCCCCGTCGCACTGCCTGTGCCCGCTGCACTCCCTGCTCCTCCCACTCCTCCCGCTCCTCCTGCACTGCCTGCCCCACCTGCAGGCGCAGGGGACTGCCCAGCAGACGTGTGCGCCCGTGACTGGGCGGGCGGTGCGGCTGCGGAATGGGCGGCAGGAGCAGGTGGGCTGGCGGCAGTGGTGGCAGCATGGGTGTGGGGGGGATAGAGCCCACCGTACACGCCCCCATACGCGGCCCCATAGCCCCCTCCACCGCTGCTGCTGGGGGGCACAGCCACTCCGCCATAACCTTCCCGTCCTCCCCGCTCCCCTGCTGCTCCCTGCTGCTGGTGCCCGCCTCCCCCCGCACCGCCACCTCTCTCGGCCCCCCCTGCTGCTGCCTGCTGCTGTTGCTGTGGCTGCTGCTGCTGCTGCTGCTGCTGCTGAGGCTGCTGTGGCTTCTGCTCGTGTGGCTGCTGCTGTGGCTGCTGATACGGCGGCTGGTATGGCTTCGGTGGTGGCTGCTGCTGCTGCGAGTATGGCTGCTGGGTCTGCTGGGTTGAGTAGTACTGAGCGTGTGTGTGCGCGCTGCAGGAATAGTGGCACCACAACATCACATGCCATCACCACACCACATGCCATCACCACACCACTCGCGTTGTCGCATGACAAAGACAAAACAACGGGACGCAGAAGGATGGGAAGGGAAGGACACCAAAGAGAACAAAAGGTTGTAGGATGGAGAATACACACTAATCACCGCTCTTACCATTTGTCACCACACTTACCGCTCAGCAGCTGCAGTGGTGCTGCCACTGCCAGCAGCAGCAGCAGGGCCACCCCCCTGCTGTGGCTGCTGGTGCGGTTGCTGGTAGTGGGGCGGGAGTGCCGGTGGTGGCGCTGGTGCTGCTGAAACACCACCAGCAGCGTATGGGGCAGTGTTGGCAAATGGGTAGGAGTAAGAAGAGGGGTAGGTGTGTGCGGAGGGATAGGTGGGAGGCAGGTTGGCGGTGGGTGCATGTGGGGGAGGTGGATGGGTGTAGGGATGTGCGGGCGCTGGGGTGCCGTAGCCATGAGAGGGCGGTGGGGTGCTGTAGGGATGTGGGGGCGGTGGGGCGCTGTAGAGGGGCGCTGGCAGTGGGATGGAGTAGGTACGCGTGGAGGAGGCGGAGGGGTCGCTGCGAGCACGCTGGGCGGCATACTGTAGGGGCACAGAGAGGAGGGGAGAGGGAGGCGTGGGCGGGAAGAAGATGGGGAGGAGGGGATGAGAAGAAAGGCAAGGAGGGCAAGGTGAGGGAAGGGAAGGCGGGGAGGGGGAAGTAAAGGCAAGGGGAAACGGAAAGCCGAAGAGAGGGGAGGATGGACGAGGAGCGAGGAGGAGTGGCTCACAGCATCAGCAGCTTCAGGTGCAGGGTATGGTCGCTTCACTCCACTCAGAACTCCCTCTGCCCGCCCATACTGCCCCTCGTGCTGCGACCCACCATACTGCACCGCACTGTACTGCGACCCCTCATACTTGCTTCCCACATACTGCGTCCCACCAAACTGCGCTCCACCGTACTGCACCGCACTGTACTGCCCCCCACCATACTGCCCCCCGTATGCAGCCCCGGCAGCCCCAGGGCCAGTATAGGCAGCACTGGGTGCACCATACCCCCCTGCCCCCGCGCCCATGCCTGCAGCAGGAGGTGCCAGAGGCGCCATAGCAGCCGCTGCAGCCGGCAGTGCAGTCCGCATCACATAATGCCTCCCCTGGATGCGACCCAGCCTCTCTGCGTAACTCTCCCCTGTAGCCACCTCCCCCAATCCAGTCCCAACCGTCCCTCCGCCATACACGCCCAAGGCACCATACCCACCTAATCCTCCTCCCCCCCCCCCTCCACCTGACGACCACCCCCCATAACCCCCACCAGCCCTATCCTCTCCTCGTCCCCTGTCCCCCCCCCCGCGGACCCCATACGCCCCTCGCCCGCCCCCGTGCACCCCTGCAGGCGCCCCTCGCCCCCCAGCTGCCCCCTTGCGCCCCATCTGCTTGAGCCTGGCCTGCCCCGGGCGCGTGAACTCGGTCTCCGCCACGCCCGCCAGCAGCAGGCTCTCCACCGCCGCGCCCGCCGCCATCTGCTTCGCACGCAGCTTCATGCCTGCACGCGCCTCACCGCGCACCCATGGGATGGCGTTGGGGCCACCACCCAGAGCTGCTGAGGCGTCAAAGGGCCCCGCGGGGTCGCCCTTGAGGTCGTACTCCACCTGGTGGTGGGGCGTAGAGAGGAAGGCAAGCAGGGTGCGGTGCGGTGAGAGGAGATGCAGGGTGCGGTGCGGTGAGAGGAGATGCACAGAAGGACGGACAATGGACGGCTTGCAGAGCACGCACACAGTTCCCAATCCGTACAGTTGCACAGCCCCGCTGACATAACTCATGTGGGTGGAGGGGCAGGAGAGGAATGGCATGGGCGACGGACCGCGATTTTGTTGCGCATGGCGAACTCGTTGAGCACGCTGAGCGGCGTCTTGTTGGCCAGCTTGAGGTCGTGGCGGAACGTGCTCACGATGGCGTGCGCGCGTGACAGCTGGTGCGCCAGGTACTCGCCCTCATCGTCCGACCCAAACACACAGACTGCACACTCAAACCGGTTCACACCCACACTGTTCTTGCCCCCCTCCCTCTCCCTCTCCACCACACTCGCTGTCACTCCCGTTACTGCCTCCCCGCCTCCTCCTCCCTCTCCCTCCTTCCCTCCTTCCCCTCCTCCCGTGGATTCGTTGGCCAGAGCTGCCTCCACAGCTGCCGCTGCACTCCCTGCTGAGCCTCCCTCCTGCGCGCCCACACCCGCTCCTTCTTGCCCCCCCCACTCCCCTTCTCCCGCCCCCCCCAACCCTCCCTCAACAGCGCTGCTCATCCCCACTCCACTCCCCCCCTCACCACCCCCCACCGATTCTACCCTCTCAACCTCCGCCCCTTCTTCCCCTTTGAGATCCGCCCCTGCAGCTGCAACCCCCCCTCCTTGCTCCCCCTGCCCCCCCTCCCCCCTCTCCTCCCGCTCTGCCTGCTCCCTCAGTACCTCCAGAAGCGCAGTCACGCTGCCCTCCCCCCTCTCCGCCCTCCGCTGATCCCCCTCCCGCCCCCCCCAAGCCCCCCCACCCCCCCTGCCAGCGCGACCCCCCAGCCTGCCCCCCTGGTCCCCCCTAGAAGCGGGGGCGCGAGGCTTGCGGTCCTGAGGCTTGGCCAGAGTCACACGCATCTTCATCTGCAGGGGAGGTGGGGGCATGACGAGACCAAGACAGTGAGGGCGCAGTGTTTACAGCGAGGCGTTGGGCACAGCCCATCTGAGCAGTGACACGCTCGGGCGAAACGGACATGGGCCCAAGAGCCCCGTACCTGATACTGCCCGTCGACGACTTGCGAGCCGTTGAGTGCGGCGATGGCAGCGAGAGCCGCCTCGCGGGAGGAGTAGTTGATGAAGCCGTAGTCATGGCGCCGGGCGGACGGCAGGTTGCGCGCCAGCACCACGCGCTCTATCTCCCCGTATCGCCCAAAGAACCCCGCCGCCCGCGGCTCGTCCCACGACGGCGGCATGCCGTCCACAAATATGCTCTTCACCTGAGGGGGGGCGGAGGGGGGGTGGGGGTTCCCGGGAGACGAGAGATGGATGCGGGGGTGGAGGGGTGTGGACGTTGCGATGACACAAGCACAGCCATGGGGACACAAATAGAGTGATAGGGGCACAGCGGTGACTGCGATCTGCATCCCATGGCCCCACCCACCGCACCTGCGCCATGACGTGCTGGTCGGGCTCGTTGAGGGGGTCGGCCCACGCCACGCGGGGAGGGCGGTCCACGCCCAGTGATACGCCCGGCTGCTGCAGGCGCATTGTCGCGGCGGCGGCTTGGCGGTGCGAGGCGAACTCGAGGAAGGCGAAGCCGCGGTTGTGCCCCGCGTGCTGCGGATCCGCCATGAACGTCAGCGCCTCGTACGGCCCCACGCCGTACCCCGCCAACGCCTCCTCTATCTGCGTGGGATAGACAGACAGAGAGGGCAGAGACGGCAGAGAAGGCAGAGAGTTGGTGATACAGAAGTGAATAGGGGGAAGCGCAGGGCGGTCGTGAAGAAAGATGCTTGATGGCTTGGCGACCAGCCAGCAAGAACCTACCTTGGACTATCCTCCCCATTCAGTCTACAATACATTGTCACTGAAGCATGGCCCACCTTGTCCTCGGACCACGGTTTTAAGCCCCATCTTGTGCTTGGACCACGTCTTAAAGCCCCATCTTGTGCTTGGACCACGTCTTCAAGCCTCACCTTGTCCTTGGACCACGGCTTTAAGCCCCACCTTGTCCTTGGACCACGGCTTTAAGCCCCACCTTGTCCGTGGACCACGTCTTAAAGCCCCACCTTGTCCTTGGACCACGGCTTTAAGCCCCACCTTGTCCTTGGACCACGTCTTGTTGATGTTCCCGATGAAGAGCGTGTCCTCCTGCTCGCCGCCCAGCACGCCCACCGGCCTCCCCCGCACCTGCATGGGCCCGCCCCCATGCCATGTCGCCGCGCCACGCACACATAGGGGGGAGCAGAGCGGAGGGCGGGATGGAACACATGTCCGGGTAGAGTGGACAGCGCTGATTGCAATGTCAGCAGGAGGAAATACGTTGTGAAGACACAGTAAGCTAGGACCCACTAAGGCCTCATTAGATGGCGAGGCCTAAAGTTTGCCTCTCTGTCCCCTCCATCCCGTCGGGATAGCATCCTCCCCTCCATCCCGTCGGGATAGCATCCTCCCGACCAGACCCTAACACGACAGGCAGCGCGCACCAGTATGCGGTCCAGTTCGGCGGCCGCTCGGCGCGCAGCGGCGTCGGAGGCGTACTGCACGAAGCAGTAGCCCTTGTTGCGCCCCGTGGCGGCGTCCCGCGGCAGGCGCACGTGCGCGATCTGCCCCGCGCGCCCGAACACGCGCTTCACGTCGTCCTCCGTGGCGCCCTTGTCCAGCCCCCCCACGAACACCTCCGCCCGCTTCGCGCGCTTCCGCGCGCTCATCGGCGTCGCCACGCTCTGGTCCAACCCCGCAGCACCTTCCTCCAAAGCCGCCGTTCCGCCGATTCCGTCCATCCCTCCGTCTCCGACTAGGTTTCCGTCTCCGTTTACGTTAGGGTATGGGCCTCGGCTGCCGTCGCCGCTCACCACCGGCATCAAGGGACCCATACCCTCAGCAGCGGTGGCGGGAGGAACTGGCGGGAGCGCGTGGTCCTCGGCACGATTATCGCCTTCGGAAACGGGCGCGGCTGGAGGAACGATGATCACAGGCTCTGGAGCCGTCGCCATTATGGCTCCGCCACGGCGACGAAGGGCCTGCTTACTGGAGCTTGTGAAGCAGGCTCTCCTGAGGGTTTGCAAGGAGTGCTTCTGACAAACCCAACTAAGGTGATCGATTTTGATAGGACTTCTTGGTAGAGTGCACTAAGATAGTTTGACGGATCTGGTGTTGTACGACGGGAAAGTATATCGGCGCTCAGTATTAGGGGCCTCGATAACATGTAGGTCAGTGACACAATATGAACAATCAGAATTAGAGAGTTCGCAACATGTTTTATCAGTCGGGTTCCACCGTTAAGTCATAAACTAGAGAAAAAAAATCCAAGAATGGTCAGTAGAAGTAACCCCCGCCCTTCTTTGAACGTTGTTGGAAATATCTCAAAGACTTAAGCGTCTCTGAAGTGTAAACACCAGGGCTCAAATTTGAAGGGTATTTCACCCTGATTGCCCTTGCCAGCGGCCGCTTTTTCAGGATCACCCTGATTTTCAAAGGGTATTTTTTTTGTGACACTTTCTCTAAACGTGTAAGTTTATTTTTACCCTGCTGTAGCCAGAGTAAACCATGATATACCATGACCAGGCAGGGTGTTGCCGAAAACACCCTGAAACAGAAGCCTACAAGGTCTGCAGATTCGATTGTTGTCGAATCTGCCACGCGTGAAACCCCGCCAGCCATGCCCGCCCACTGGCAGTCAAGCCCCCCAGAATCGGCGCGCGTGGCAGTGAATTCGTCGCGCTGTGGCAGCACTACTGCCAGCGGCGTGCCAGATGCAGTATGCGCTATGCATCGAGGCCACTTTCTCGCGTGGTCTCAAGGACAGCTGGGCATCGCATGCACCAGCGCAGCAACACCCGCGGCGCAAGGACAGTCTGCCATAGCAGGTTGACTTTGCCGCGCTGTGTGGTTTTCGTTCCCTATCACGAAACCATTCTTGGCCCATCGTCCTCATCCTCTTCTTCCCCCACCTTCTCTTCATACTTCCACCCGACCCAGCCGAGCTGGGTCAACCATTCCCCTCGTTAGTTGTTACTCTATCGCTTCTACTACTCAGACATGGCCGTTCCCGAGAACGACGAGCCTGACGATGGCCATGTTGGTCATCGTGATGGCCTTAGCGTCCTCGGCGTTTTCCCCCTCGCTCAACCAGCAGTCGCGCCCTCGTTCAGCCAGCGTAAATCTCCCCCGCGCTCTCTGCAAATTCCACAGCCCGCCCCACCACAGATTCCTAGATCCCTTTCTCCATCTCAACGGGGCATCGAGCCCATCGACGTTTCAGAGTCTGCCGATGCAGATGAGTCCGACCATCCCTCCGTGACAACCCCACCCTCCCCTACCTCCGAGATCGCCAAAAGGCCGCGACGGTCCGCACGGACGCAGTCGACCCTCTGGGGTGCGCCTCCGCCTCGCCGCCCAGCAAGCCCGCCTCCCGCGCGCGCTTCTCGCCCTGCCGGGCTTGCTGCCGACGCTCTGCCGACGACCGCTGCTGAGGCCGAGTATGCAGTAATAAAGAACCGTTTCGACAATGACTGGTCGAAGCGGTTCCCCTGGCTGCGGCTACATCGAATGAAGAACGGACGACCTGCTCTCAAGTGCGCCACGTGCCTCAAACACGCCGACCCATGTGCGAACACGTCGTATGGCATCAAGGGTGAGGGTGGGCGTGATTTGCAGCTCGGCAGCGTCCGCTCTCACATCGGCACCCGTGCGCACAAATCGGCGATCAAGGCGGAGGAGGATGCTGAGAAAGAGCGCGCGCGACAAGTGACGCTGACCCGCTGGCAGCGGACGGATCACCAGACGCGGCATCTTATTCGCATGCTGCACATCGCGTTGTTCATTTGCAGGCATGATGCGCCCATCGCGATGTTCATCCCCCTTGTGCTGGTTCCTTGCGAAGGAAGGCCACCCCGATCTGCCGCCAGGTGGTGGGTACGGCGCCTACTACACAGAGTATGTTAAAACCTCGACAGTAGTTCTTGTGCTGTGCGATTTGCCGTTTGATGCTCACTGCTCGTCCTCCCTCCCCACGTGCACAAATTGTGGCCTTCTTGTATGGTACAAATGCCCTGCCGTCCGTCTCTCCTTGTTTCCGTGTCATGCAGTTACGGTTTCAAGGAGAGCATACGGTCCATGTCGGAGTATCTGCAGGAGGAACAGCTGAAACACCTTCACGCCTCTCCCTACGTCGGCATCAGCATCGACGAGAGCACGGATCGCATCCACGGGAAACATCTCGTGCTCTACGCGACGTTTTTCAAGGGCAACACCGTGGCGACCGAGTTTGTCACACTTCTGAGTGTCGAGCGGACTGACGCGGCATCTCTGACTTCCTCCCTCTTGCACTACATCCAGGGAATTGGACTGGACCTGCAAAAGATCGTGGGCATCGCGACTGATGGAGCTTCCGTAATGACCGGCGAGCGGAGCGGAGTAGTGACCCGTCTGCGCGCACAAATCGAGCACCTCGTCTCGATTCACTGCATTGCCCATCGGTTTGTTGCGGTTCGACGGACGTATAAACTTTCGGATAAAATGCATGGTCGTGCCTTATATTCCTGGAAGTAACATCAGCCTTTCTACTACTCTTCCCCTATCCTCCCACCCCGCCTTCAGGGAGGCGCTGGCGGCTAAGGACGCGGCTGCAGCCGTGCCCGAGCTAAGCATCATTGACCTTATCATACGGACACTGCGCACGTGACTGCGTCCAAGGATGTCGGCCAGGGTTTAGGGTTTAGGGTTTAGGGTTTAGGGTTTAGGGTTTAGGGTTTAGGGTTTAGGGGTTTAG